AAACAAACAAACAAATAGCCGGGTGTTGTGGTAGGCACCTGTAGTCCCAGCTACTTGGGACGCTGAGGCAAGAGAATCACTTAAGCCCAGGAGTTGGAGGTTGCTGTGAGCTGTGAGGCCACGGCACTCTACCAAGGGCAACAGCTTGAGGCTCTGTCTCACAAAAATAAATAAAAAAAATAAAATAAAATAAGAAAACAGAGGCACCAAGAATTAAGTGTCATCCCTTGGATCACAAGTGAGAAAGCAGCTGGCCAAGACTTGAACTCAGATGGGATAGATATCTTTTCTACCAATCTTTTCTACTAATTACTGCAATTCCCCAAATGCAACATGTTCTCTGAGATATCCATCTCTGTACATGCCAATTCCTTTGCCTCAAATACTGCTCTAAGCCTACTGGACACTCTCACTTCCTCCACTACCAGCCAAGGCACAGCCTTCTCCCACTGATAGTCTGCCCTTCCCTAGGGAGGATGGGCATTTCCATCAGAGGACACACCACTCAGGTGCCTCTCCCATTTGACTTTACATTCCTTGAGGACAGGGATTTAGTTGTTTGCCTCCATATATACACAAGGCCTGGCTTACAGCAGTCATTGAATAAATGTTCACTAAGTGAGCAGACAGCAACAAAACAACCCTGCATTCCAAAAACATTTATTACAAAATTTTGTGCATTTTAAAAGAAACTGCCACAACTGTCCTGACAAAGAGCACATAAGACTCAGGATCACTAAACATCACCTTCACAGCAGAGCAAGTGAACAGAGGAAGAGAACTAGAGAAAGATGAAATGGCCATCTGTGAAAACACATCCAAGGCTAAGCATTGTTAATGGCTAATTCATATGGCCAGAGTTTCTTACTTAAAAGGCTGCTTTTTTTTTCAGCAAAGTGAAGAAAAAAACATTAGGAACCTTAAGTTTTCTTTTTAACAAACTAGTTTTCTGATGTTCTTTTCTTATATACAACTGTACCCTTTCCCCCTAAATATTTGCTATAAAGCATGTTCTGGATATTTAGAAGCTTTCTAGAATGCAAGACATTCTCTAGAGTCGTATAAAACAAAATCAAGTATAATTAAGTGGAAAAAGAACACAGGCACAGGCCTGCTGTTTTAAACTTGTTTCAGTTTTGTGTCTCTATATTAGCAGTTCTCAACCTGTGGGTTGCAACTCCTTTGTAACAATGAAAATATATTGTGGCATTAGGAAGGTTGAGAACCACTGCCTATAGTCTAACATTCCCAGTTATATTGATCTTATCTTTCATAAGAAGCACTTGAACAAATCCTAACACTAAATTAAAATAAAGATCATAGGAAAAAAAAAAGTAGAAGCCTTCTGCATGAATCACTCAAACAAGAGTGGTATAGACCACCAATTGCTAGAGAAAAGAGGCAAAACCCCCCAAACAACCCATGGATGGCTCCCCACACTGGCTTCAGGTGAGAACTGGAAGCGTCTGGTCTACCCTCAAAACAAAACCCAGAAAAGACTTACCTGTATTGTTTTGTGCAGCAGTTGCATAGGAAAACAGAAACAATCGTTTAAGTAGCTTAGGAGCCTGAGTATGATGAATTATGCCACTGACAATCTAGAAAAGAACCAACCAATGGCTATAGTTACTCTTTTGACAGATGAACTCTTAAGAGAAGTAAGAGTCAGGTGTCTAGGTTCTCATGCTAATGGGGCTCTAATGAACAACATGTTAACTCTTACAGAGGTCCGTATCAATAATGTTAGCCCTTGAATAATGCCAAAGCAAGAGAATGCTAGCCATTTTGTTAGGTTTCTAAAAACTCTGAATTTCTATGGAAATTTTAAAAACATAATCTACTTTCTCAAAAGCACAGTGTTGGCCGGGCACCGTGGCTCACACCTATAATCTTGGCACACTAGGAGGCTGAGGCCAGTGGATTGCTTGAGCTCAGGAGTTTAAGACTAGCCTGAGCAAGAGTGAGATCCTGTCTCTATTAAAAATAGAAAAATAGCTGAGTATA